AGAATATCAAGGAAATACACACACGTGTTTTTTTTCAAATAAGAACATTTCTATCGATCTAAAATAACATGCAATCAGTGTGGAGAATATGGGCTCAGTATCCATTTGTCCGTACATACTCAGAGAATCAAGCACTGTCAAGTAACTTTGTATTTCCTTAAATGAAGAATGGTGATGACTTGAAAACTGTAAAGTATGATGCAGATATAAGTAATTTTACTCGTGTTAAGAAAGGATCACGATAGGTATGGATCCCTAAATAGCTTTCCCAATTAGCTTTCCCAATTGTTTACCCACACTACATATGAAAAATCTAGATTTATAACATTCTCAAAAATGTCAGTTTATAAACACTACGAAATAAAGAAAATAAAAATAAAGACAGAGAAGAGTTAAACAGTTTAAAATACCTTTTCCAAACCAGGACACATCTATTACTGAGATCTGGAATTTATGTCATGGTTATGTTGTCATAATTAGCAGGAAAACTTTATCTTTAGGTTTCATGTACCCATCCAGCTAATTTCTCTCACCTAATTCAAGTACCCTTTTAAGTAGTAGCAACTGCTAGTACTTACTAACATGCCTTGGATATCTGTGAAGTTAATCCTCGAGACTGCAAGTTACCATTGTTACCTCACCAAACCTATGTGGCCCTGATGTGTCCCATGTTCCATATTTACCTCACCCAAACTCTGACCTCTTCTTTATCGAGTGAGGAGAGCAATTTTATTAGCTTATTTTAGTGATCACACCAAAATGTGTATTACCTACTGGCATACTTCTAAAAATATTTCTCTACATTTACCAGAAAGAGTAAAGAAAATCTTCTTTAACAACACAACCTTAAAAAACAGGTTAGCAGCTTCGCAGTCCAGGTCCACAGGATGCTAAACTCAGAAGTGGTACATTTAATGTGAAAAAAAAAACAAAACAAAAACCCCACGAAAAAACAAAAACAAAAAAAAATCACAACCAGAACCAGAAAACCAAAATCAAAAATATTCCTTATACTTTCAGTGTTTAAATAAAGATTCTATATTCTAAAAAAACCCTCAATTTCTTAATCTTTGAAAATAAATGTAAGTTATACTTCATTATTCACTGTAGCAAGTCAAATATTTCCTGCAATAATTAATAACAAAATAATGGTACATGTTATAATTTTTATTATATAAAACTAGTACACTTAAATGTATATTGGTTTTATTATAATAAAATATGCAAGAAATGACAAAGCAGAGGAATACTTTACAACCGATCAGTGGTTAAATGAGGATTCAAAATTAATTTTCTTAACTATTTGTGTAAAAGCATGGTAATAGTAACTTTACAGAGATTTATTTGTAACTTAGTAAAATATTTTGCTAAAAGACATTAATATCCTACCACAATAGTAACATTTATGGCATTTGCTTTTTCTGATAAATATTTTTATTCTTTAAACTAAAAATAATAATACACTTCCAATAACTGTTTAAAAGATAAAAATTTCCCCCAGCATATTAACAATCAGCATGTTTACATTATAATGTTTTATGACACTTTATTTGGAGGTTGAAGATTAAAAGATATATTTTAAATTTCACATATTATCTTAAATGCCTCATCTTTGATTCCTACAAATAAATCTCATTTTCTCAGTGCTATCAGTGACACTAATATTTGAACTCGATTTTTTTTCTCTATTATATTTCTACCAACTTCTGTTGATTTTGTTTTTTGTTTTAATTTGCTCAGGGTCTTGAATTTGCTTTCTACTTCCACAGCATTTCTCCTAATTTAGGTTTGGGGGGCTTTTTGCTGAATGGTTCTAAATTTCAATGTCTCTATTATCATGGGGAAATCAATTCTTGATTCTTTATAGAATGCAGCACTTTCTTCTTTAAAATAATTTTCTCAATGAAAAAGATATATGATTATCTTCATACAATATAGGGTTTATTATCTGACCCTGGCATGCAGCCTATATTTAAGTGCTAAAAAGATCTTCCTTAAATGTCCAAAATTTTTGTTCTGGATCTACAATAATTCACTATTATTTAACTTCAATGTAGTCTTTAAACCCTGACTGACTCATAAATTTTCTCCTATACCTTCCTTCTCATTATGTTTCTTGTTTTTCTCTCATATTTTCCCAATAATTTCAGTTTTATCTGTATGTCTGTGTGTACTTGAGATGGTTAATTTTTTTGTGTCAACTTGACTGGGCCACAGGGTGCCCAGACATTTGGTCAAACATTATTCAGGGTGTGATTTTGAGGGTATTTTTGGATGAGATTAATATCTGAATTGGTAGACTGAGTAAAGCAGATTGTCCTCTCTAATGTGAATGGTCCCCAGCCAATCAGTTGAAGAACTGAATATAGTCATGAGCCACTGGATGGCAGAGATACATTCTGAAAAATGCATTGCTAGGCAATTTCATTGTTGTGCCAACATTAAAGAGTACACTTACTGAACCTAGATGGTATAGCCAACTACACACCTAGGCTATATGGTATAGCATATTGCCCCTACACTATGAGTCTGTACACCATGTGACTGTACAAAACAACATGAGATTAAATCATGCACAAGAGAAAATGACACGATCAAGAGACAACACAAGATGTAGGAGGTTGCTGCCAGTGTAACACAGTACACCATTTTACAGCAAACTTTTTTTATAAGCAGAAAAGAGCACACTATAAAATAATGATAATAGTAAATACATGAAGCAGTAACAGTTGTTTATTGTAATTACCAAGCAGTATGTATTGTACACGATCATATGTGCTATATAGTTTTACAAAACTGGCAGCATGGTAGGTTTGTTTCCCAAGTGTCACTACAAACACATGAGTAATGTGCTGCATTGTGATGTTACAACGTCACTAAGCGATAGGAATTTTTCAGTCCATTATAATCTTAAGGGACCACCACTGTATATGTGGTCTGTCATTGACCAAAATGTCATTATGCGCTGCATGACTATAGAACAAAAAGGCTAAATAAGAGGGAACTCCCTCTGACTGCCTTGAACTGGGACATTGGTATTTTCCAGCCTTCCAACTTGGACTGAAACATCTCCTAGTTGTCAGGCCTTTGGATTCAAACTGGAACTATACTTCACCAATACTGGGTCTCCACCTTGCCAACAACAGAACTTGGGACTTCTCAGCCTCCATAATCATGTGAGCTAATTCCTTATAATCAGTCCGTCCGTCCATCCACCCACCCACCCATCTATACACACTCATACACATACATATCCTCCTGGACTCATTTCCTGGAGAACCCTGACTAATATGGTACTTTACTCAAATTATGAGAAATTCTTGGTTCTTTGTGGAATGCAGCACTTTCTTCTTTAAAATAATTTCCTCAATGAAAAAAATATATGATTATCTTCATACAATATAGGGTTTATTATCTAACCCTGGCATGGAACTTGTATGCTCAGTTTACAACATTTTACTTGTACTCATCAATAAGTTTTTTCTTTATCTTTCTCAACCAGTTACCTAACAGTCTCACCTTGTAACTTCTTTTTGAATAATACCTCTAGTTCCAGGACAACCTTTCCTAATGGGCAGTTTATAAATCTTAAATGCTGGC